TCTTTGTTCTCATTGGTTTCAAAGAACTTCTTTATTTCTGACTTAATTTCATTATTTACGCAGCAGTCATTCAGAAACGGATTGTTTAGTTTCCATGTATTTGTGCAGTTTTGAGTGAGTTTCTTAATCCTGAGTTCTGATTAGATTGCACTGTGGTCTGAGAGACTGTTATGATTTCCATTCTTTTGCATTTACGTAGGAGTGTTTTACTTCCAATTATGTGATCAATTTTAGAATAAGTGCTATATGATGCTGAGAATAGTGTATATTCTGTTGGTTTGTGGTGGAGAGTTCTGTATACACATATTAGGTCCACTTGGTCCAGAGCTGAGTTCAAGTCCTGAATATCCTTGTTAATTTTGTGTCTCATTGATCTGTCTAATATTGATAGTGGGGTGTTAAAGTCTCCCACAATTATTGTGTGGGAGTGTAAGTCTCTTTGTAGGTCTCTAAGAACTTGTTTTATGAATCTGGTTTCTCCTATATTGGTTGCATATATATTTAGGATAGTTCTTTCTTCTTGTTTGATTGATCTCTTTACCATTCTGTAACGCCCTTCTTTGTATTTTTTGATCTTTGTTGGTTTAAAGTCTGTTTTTTTCAGAGATCAGGATTGCAGCTGTTGCTTTTTTTTTTTTTTCCTTTTTGCTTTTCTGAGCCTATATGTGTCTTTGCACGTGAGGTAAGTCTCCTAAATATAGCACACTGATGGGTCTTGACTCTATTCAATTTGCCAGTCTGTGTCTTTTAACTGGGGCATTTAGCCCATTTACATTTAAGATTAATATTATTATGTATGAATTTGATCCTGTCATCATGGTGCTAGCTGGTTATTTTGCACATTAGTTTATGCAGCTTCTTCATAGTGTCATTGGTCTTTATATTTTGATGTGTTTTTTGCAGTGGCTAGTACCAGTGTTTTTCCTTCTCCATATTTAGTGCTTTCTTCAGGAGCTCTTGTAAGGCAGGCCTGGTGGTGACAAAATCCTTCAGCATTTGCTTGTCTGGAAAGGTTTTTATTTCTCCCTTGCTAATGAAGCTTAGTTTGGCTGGATATGAAATTCTGGGTTGAAAATTCTTTTCTTTAAAAATGTTGAATATCGGCCCCCACTCTTTTCTGGCTTGTAGGGTTTCTGCAGAGAGTTCTACTGTTAGTTTGATGGGCTTCCTTTGTAGGTAACGTGACCTTTCTCTCTGGCTGCCCTTAACATTTTCCCCTTTCTTTCAACTTTGAAGAATCTGATGACTATGTGTCTTGGGGTTGATATTCTCTAGGAGTATCTTAGTGGTGTTCACTGTATTTCTTGTATTTGAATGTTGGCCTGTCTTGCTAGGTTGGAGAAGTTCTCCTGGATAATATCCGAAGTGTGTTTTCTAACTTGGTTCCATTCTCCCTGTCACTTTTAGGGTCCTCAATCAATTGTAGGTTTGGTCTTTACACATAGTCCCATATTTATTAGAGGCTTTGTTCATTCCTTTTCATTCCTTTTTCTCTAATCTTGTCTTCACGCCTCATTTCAGTAAGTTGATCTTCAATCTCTGATATCCTTTCTTCTGCTTGATTGATTCAGCTATTGATACTTGTGTATGCTTCACAAAGATCTTGCCCTGTGTTTTTCACCTTCCTCAGGTCATTTATGTTCGTCCCTAAAACAGGTTCTTCTAGTTAGCAGTCCCTGTAACCTTTTGTCAAGGTTCTTTGCTTCCTTGCATTGGGTTAGAACATGCTCCTTTAGCTCAGAGGAGTTTGTTATTACCCACCTTCTGAAGCCTACTTCTGTCAATTTGTCAAACTCATTCTCCATTCCGTTTTGTGCCCTTGCTAGAGAGGAGTTGTGATCATTTGTAGGAGAAGAGGCATTCTGGTTTGGGGAATATTTTTGCTGGTTTTTCCTCATCTTTGTGGATTTATCTGCCTTTGATCTTTGAGGCTGATGACCTTTGGATGGGATTTCCGTGTGGGGGTCCTTTTCGGTGATGTTGATGTTATTGCTGTTAGTTTTTTTTTTTTTTTTTTCCTAACAGGCTCCTGTTCTGCAGGTCTGCTGCAGTTTGCTTGAGGTCCACTCCAGACCCTGTTTGCCTTGGTATCACCAGTGGAGGCTGCAGAATAGCAATGACTGCTGCTTGCTCCTTCCTCTGGAAGCCTTGTCCCAGAGGGGCAACAATCTGATGCCAGCCAGAGCTCTCCTGTATGAGGTGTCTGTTGACACCTGCTGGGAGGTCTCTCCCAGTCAGGAGGCATGGGGTTCAAGGAGCCACATGAGGAGGCAGTCTGTCCCTTAGCAGAGCTCGAGCACTGTGCTGGGAGAAACCTCCTTGTCAGGAGATTTCTCTTCAGAGCCAGCAGGCCAGAACGTTTAAGTCTGCTGCAGCTGTGCCCACAGCCACCCTTTTCCCCAGGTGCTGTGTCCCAGGGAGGTGGCAGTTTAATCTATAAGCCCCCAACTGGGGCTGCTGCCTTTCTTTCAGAGATGCCCTGCCCCATGAGGAGGAATCTAGAGAGGCAATCTGACCACAGCCGCTTTGCCACACTTTGGTGAGTTCTGCCCATTCCAAGCTTCCAGGCCTCCTTAACACTGTCAGGGGAAAACTGCCTACTGAAGCCTCAGTAATGGCAGATGCCCCCCCCACCCCCACCAAGCTCCATAGTCCCAGGTCGACTTCAGAGTGCTGGGCTGGAAGTGAGAATTTCAAGCCAGTGATTCTTAGCTTGATGGGGTCCATGTGGGAGTGGGACTTGCTGAGTGAGACTACTTGGCTACCTGGCTTCAGTCCCCTTTCTGGGGGAGTGAACAGTTCTGTCACACTGGGGTCCCAGGTGCCACTGGGTTTTGAAAAAAAAAATGAAACTCCTGCAGCTAGCTCAGTGTCTGCCCAAACAGCTACCCAGTTTTGTGCTTGAAACCCAGGGCTCTGGTGGTGTTGGCACATGAGGGAATCTGCTGGTCTACAGATTGCAAAAACTGTGGGAGAAGCATAGTATTTGGGCCAGATAGCACAGTCTCTCGCAGCTTCCCTTGGCTGGAGGAGGGAGATTCCAAGCTCCTTGCACTTTACAAGTGAGGTGGTGCTTCACCCTGCTTCTATTTGCCCTCCATTGGGCTGTACCCACTGACTAACCAGTACCAATGAGATGAGCTGGGCACCTCAGTTGGAAATGTAGAAATCACTTGCCTTCTGTGTTTGTCTCACTGGGAGCTGCAGACCAAAGCTGTTCCTATTAGGGTATGATACTAGATTCCCCCCAACCATCACATATAAATTTTAAAATAGTTTTTTTTTCTAGTTCCATGAAGAATGTCATTGATAGTTTAATAGGAACATCATTGAATTTATAAATTGCTTTGGTCAGTTTGGCCATTTCGACAATATTGCTTCTTCCTGTTCATGAACATTTTTTGTGTCTTTCCATTTGTTTGTGTCATCTCTGACTTCTTTGAGCGGAGATTTTTCTCCTCCCTAGTTAGCTGTATTCCTAGGTATTTTATTCTCTTCATGGCAATTGTGAATGGATTGTGTTTCTCAGTTGGCTCTCAGCTTGAAGGTTGTTGGTGTATAGAAGTGCTCCTTGTTTTTGTGCATTAATTTTGTATTCTGAAACTTTCCTGAAGTTGTTTATCAGATCATGTTTATCAGATCAAGGAGCTTTTGGGCAGAGAGTTTGGAATTTCCTAGGTATAGAATCATATTGTTTACAAATAGTTTGTTTGATTTCTATAAAAAACATAATGGGGTAAAAGCAAACATCTGTCAGCAATGGAATAGAACAATAAAAATGCCCAAGAATAAATTTAATTTAATGTAAAGAACTAATATGAAGCAAATAACAGTCATTGTGCGGGATAAGTAAAAAGACTTGCGGAATTGGGGAGTGTCTTTTTCTTGGATAGAGAGATTCTAAAATCAAAGGATGGTTATTGTCTCTAAGTTAAGATGTAATTTAAAAATAATAACTAGTGTCTCAATAGGAATATTTTAAGCACCTGATCAAATGATTCTGAAGTTCACCTGAAAGACAAACGTGTCAGAATAGATAGAAAAGGAGAAAGCAATGAGGGAGGGAAGCATTTTTCACATTTCAAATATAATTAAGCTATAGCAATTAAAATAGTGTAGTAGTGGTACAGGTATAAACCACTCAATGGAGGAAATTTAAGAGAGTTACATACAAAATTGAGTGGGGATGTAGGAGATGATAAAAGAGCCATTTCAATGTTCAACATTATGGACACAGGGAGGCAAGCACTACACACTGGGGTCTGTTGGGGGGAAATGGGGGAGGGACAGTGGGGGGTGGGGAGTTGGGGAGAGAGAGCATGGGGAGAAATGCCAGATATAGGTGAAGGGGAGGAAGGCAGCAAATCACACTGCCATGTGTGTACCTATGCAACAATCTTGCATGTTCTTCACATGTACCCCCAAACCTAAAATGCAATTAAAAAAAAAGCCATTTCAAAACAGTGGGTGAAACAAGGATTCAACAAATGATGGAGCCTCTACCACTTTAATTTTGTCGAGATGGATCAATGATTTTGAATGTACAATAATGTAACAAAAAAACTATGACTCTCTTATTGTATTGGAGTGGGTAAGATCATTGCAAGCATGACAGCAAACTCATGAACAAGGCAAGAAAATGATTTATGAAAGCATATATAAAATATGTATTAAAATATCTGATGGTGAATTTTTCTGAAATGCATTCTTCCCTTAGAGTAATCTGGGGCTCATATTCTCCAAAGCCATTAGAAGTGAAAGAAAGGTTGGGTGGGGAAAAAGAAAAGTGCTTTGCGAGTTCATTTTTGTTGTCAGGAGAGCTTGTGGGTTAGGTTCTCCACAGAGGCAGGAAAACTTCAGTCACGTGGCGAATGCCCTACTCAGTGCGCATGCGGCATAGACCTGTTGCTGCGCATGTCTGTTTCTACGCATCTCCATTCGTGCGTATGCGCGTTGCTGCCCACCTTTGTCCACGTAGCGTTCTGCCAGGAAAGGTTGCGTCTGAGTTCTTGCCGCCATCTTCATTCTTTCTCACTGACTGAGATTCAGCCGGTAGGTCCGCATATCGGTCTTTTGGGGAATTTAGTTGTACGTGAATGTGAGTAGGAGGCAGCGGGCTTCGGACAGGTCCTGCGGCCTAGTCCGGTGGCTTCTGAGGGAAAAGGGCCTCGCGGTTGTTGTTTGGCTCCTCCCAGGTCGCGCCACTGCCGCCACAGGTCTTGTTGTCATGGCTGGGCTGGGATGAGGGAGGAAGGTGAGCCACGGAGGCGAGGGATCACGTGAAGACGGCGTGAGAGCTGGGGGTGCTGTTAGAGATGTCTGAATCCGAAATGCCTAGAACCTTCTGAGGGAGGACAGTTTCCAGACTTCTCGTTAGGGATGTGGGAAGGGACAGCGTGGGCAGTAAGGAAAGGGCCTGGGAATTGGGAATGCTGTGGGCTGGTGACTGTGGCCCCGAGATCTGTAGACTGCCTGGCAGAGGTGTCCTGTGAGAAGCGTAACCTTCACTCTGTTTCGCAACTTCTCATCTCCGCCATGGACGTCATGGGAAGGAATGGGCGAGGCTGTGCATGCCAGCAAAACTTGATTTTGGGAGGGGACTGGGCCTAGAGTGGGACGAAAGCTGTAGTCACTTCAGTTTCAATACTTGGCCTGTGTTTTCGTAAACGTCTTCATGTTGGCAGGTCTTATTGTGAAACCAAAACTCAAAGGTCTCTGTTTTTTGCTATGGCATTAAGGTGACTTCTATGACCGTTTTACTGTGATGTAAACGAATCT